TCTAACGCAACGAAATATAACCTAACCTAACCACACTAAACTTGTCACAACGGAACCTAATTAAACGCAACCTAACCTAACATAACCTAACTTAACCTAACTTAACCTAACCTAACCTAACCTACCCTAGTATACTGTAACTCAATCTACTATCAAATAACCTTGTTTAACCTACCTGACGGAGGAACTATCTGACGAAGAAACAAAGAGAAAGGAAAAGGATAAAGAAGACACCATCGGGAAATGAAGAAAGAAGAACAAAAGGAATAAAGTGAAGAAAACAGCAGAGGGGGTTGATAAAGGTGATATAATGAAGGGGGGGAAGGGGGAGAAGGAGGGAAGGGGGAAGGAGGAAGGGGAGAGGAGGAGGATGAGACTAGAGGCTGATCACACAAGGGTTTCACCGACGAGATAAGAATGGACATCATGGGAATTACAATCATGTGGTGCTCATCTACGGAGGGAAGAAGGAAGGGAGAGGTAAAGGGGGTGAGGGAGGAGAGGGGAGGGAGGAGAGGGTGAGGGTGAGGGAGAAAAAGAGGAGGGAGAAAAAGAGGTGAGGGAGAAAAAAGAGGAGGTGAGGAAAGAGGAAGAGAAAGAGGTGAGGGTGAGTGGTGAGGAAGAGAAAGAGGTGAGGGTGAGTGGTGAGGAAGAGAAAGAGGTGAGGGTGAGTGGTGAGGAAGAGAAAGAGAGATTGTAGAGAAAGACGATGAGTGAGGATAAGGGAGGTGAATATGGAAGGGAGGAAAGAAGCGGGGGAAAAAGAGGGAAAGGGAAGAAGGAAGAGGACGAGAAAGGTAGGAGAAGAGAGATGGAGAGAAGAAGCAGTAGATGATGGGAAGAGGGTAGGAAAGTATCAACGGTAAAGAGGATGTACAAGAGAAAAAGAAGTAGAGAAGGAACGAGAAAATGTGAAGAAGATGAAAGAAAATAAAGAAAGAAGGGAAGACTAAAGGAAGGTAGAAGAGCAGGGATAGAACGACAAAGAGAAGAAGAACAAGAAAATAAAAAAAGAGAATTATCATATAAAACACTTTTAACAAAAATTCTCCTTTTGCATACGTCAATTCCATCCACATAAACAATATACAACTGACTTAAACCAAGGCGTTAAAACTACCCTGAGACTATACCAATACTAAATACCTTCCCATATATTCATTAATTGAGAGAAAATAATGTTTAGTAAATGATATCAACAGCACCGGACACATTTATCTCATCAGGATCCAAATCTTATGCTAAACGCCAGAGTCCGTCAGTATACAAGAGTTGCCCATATATATTATTCATAGAAAACGCAGATGATTCTTATTTTCTGTTCGTTTTCAGTTTGTGTTCATTTATCTTTTTGGGGGAGACACTGATATAATGAGAGGGTGTAGCTCATCTTGTCTGGGGAGAAAACTAAATAAAAAAATCCATATCCAAAGGTTAAAAACATAAGACACCTGAGTAATTAATATATACAGGTGTGACGTTGACAGATATCAATACTTACTCATCATCCTCGTCCTCTCCCTTCTCTTCCGCTTCTTCTGCTTCTTCCTCTTCGTTATAGAAAATTGATGAACCTTTTCTCTCCTCCATGTTGCCTGTATCCATCTCCCTCAAGTGTCACCGTCAAGTGTTACCCTCAAGTGTCGCCCTCAAGTGTCACCCTCGACCTGGAAACAGGATATTGTCAAGAATTTATTTTATCAAAACAAGTCAGTAAGTCAGTTTATTATTGTTACTCTTATCGTTTTGAGTCACTGTTATGTTCTTTGAGTCACTGTTATATTCTTTGAGTCACTGTTATGTTCTTCGAGTCACTGTTTGTTCTATGAGTCACTGTTTATTCTCTAAATCACCGTTTGTTCTCCAAGCACTGTTTGTTCGTGAGTAACTGTTCTGAGTCACTATTTTCTAAATCACTGTTTGTTTTCCGAGTCACTGTTATGTTCTCTAAATCACTACTTGTTATTGAGTCACTGTTTGTTCTGAGTCACTGTTCTATAAATCACTGTTTGTTCTTGAGTCACCAAATTTTACCACGAGCTACTTTACCTGTGCCATAAATACCTGTCGAGTCTGAACTGGTAAGTTGTAAACATGAATGATCCAGCTTGGAATAATTTATCATAAGGAAACATAACGAACATTTAGTAACAACAGAATAAAGAATAAAGGAGAAAATTACTTAAAAACTTTCTTCAATGATAATTCGAAACTTTAATCCCAAAACGGAATAAAAGCCAATTTAAAACATTAACCATATGAGACAAACTTACACACGAGTTAAAAAAAATTCTTCTATCATCCACCAACAGTAATATCACCACAAAAACAAAAATAACATCACTTTAAACATAAAAACAAACAAACACACACATACACACACATACAAGAGAAAACTCAAGCAGGTAATATCTATAAATCACTACTAACGATACTGAATTCCATCCCAATACGTGGCGCCTCCGTATCTATCTTATTTATCTATATCAGAGGGAGGAGGTGTGTATTATTGTGGTTTCTGATAGGTCCCATTGTCACTCTCGGGCCGGGATGAATGTTAGACTGATTGAGTGTTGTTATCGTGTTTTGTTCTAACTGTGGAACTTGGTGATCGTGACGTCAGGGTGAATGGGGTGTGTTAGGTGGTGAGTAGGGTGTGTTGTGTAGTGAGTAGGGTGTGTTGTGTAGTGAGTAGGGTGTGTTGTGTAGTGAGTAGGGTGTGTTGTGTAGTGAGTAGGCTGTATGATAAGTGGGGTGTGTTATGTAGTGAACGATTGAGTGGGATGTGTGTTGAATGGTGAGTGGGGTGTTCCTTATCCATCCTAAAATAAAATATTCCAATTATTTTACGTTTAGCTCCCCACCCCCCACCCCTCGCTTTCATATGAGCTTACCTCGTCAAGGGCCAGGTGGGTTTACCTGGAAGTGTTTTGATTAATAAGACGAAGCTCGACAGGTGTGATTGGTCAGGGATTCAGAGAGAGAGACATGGTGGTTGTTCCCGAGAGTAAATATAATAATACTACTACTAATAATAATAATAATAATAATAATAATAATAATAATAATAATGATAATACCACCGAGTCACTACAGCTAACAAGAATTAAACATATATATATACATATATATATATATATATATATATATATATATATATATATATATATATATATATATATAAAGCACATCTTCAGGTGAGTCTGCACCACCCTGAAGAGGAATTACACGAAAGCGCTTGAAACTTGTGTTTTTTTCCTTGTGGTTACTCAGTATATACCTAGATCACGCGCACCTACAGTGATTTAATTTTGCATATATATATATATATATATATATATATATATATATATATATATATATATATATATATATATATATATATATATATATATATATAGTATAAATAGTATATATACCTGCATATGGCCATACATCATACCCACACATGGCCACACAATATGCCCACACATGGTCATAAAGCATACCCACACATGGCCATACAATATGCCCACACATGGCCATACAATATGCCCACACATGGTCATAAAGCATACCCACACATGGCCATACAATATGCCCACACATGGTCATAAAGTATACCCACACATGGCCATACAATATACCCACACATGGCCATACAATATACCCACACATGGCCATACAGTATACCCCACACATGGCCGCACACAACATAAACAACACGCCCCACCAGTGCAATATACTCTTATGGCCAAGATCCGTGTTGTATCTTACCAGGCAGAGGGCTTGTTCATGGAGGTGCTGAGTCAAGCAGTTTTCCTTCCTACCTGAGAGTATAAACACAGATCAGCTGACGTCGATCAGCTGATGGGGTATAAACATTGTTGATGGATATTTTGTTACTTTACTTTGTCAAAACTCTAAATCCGTAACTGAAGTTGATGACAGAGTTTGACGAGTAATTTATAATAAAGAAAAATCACCGAATTGCTTTTAATAATAAATTTGTTTTTAGTGTTTTAATTAAACCCTAGACGAGATTAGCTTTGGTCAGCACGATACCAATTTTCTATCAGAGGAACTTGTTTTAATCTTGACCCAGAGAGAGAGAGAAAGAGAGAGAGAGAGAGAGAGAGAGAGAGAGAGAGAGAGAGAGAGAGAGAGAGAGAGAGAGAGAGAGAGAGAGAGAGAGAGAGAGAGAGAGAGAGAGAGAGAGAGAGAGAGATTACGTTACGTTTGGTATGGTTAGGTTAAAGTTAAGGTTAGATTAGGTTAATTGTAAGGTACAGTAGGAGAAGTTAGGATAGACCGGGTTCCGGGTTTGTGAATCAACGAGTCCTGTAAATTATAGTCACTTTGTTTACATCTAGTGGAAGTAGTGTCTCGGGTCAATGTTGTCTGGTAATTATGAGAGTCAATAGAGTGATCCAGGGAGCACTAAATGAGGTGTCAATTGCCTACGACGCCAAGAATATAGTGACCTGGCTGTTAGTGCTAGATAATATTAGTGTGAGTGTGTGTGTGTGTGTGTGTGTGTGTGTGTGTGTGTGTGTGTGTGTGTGTGTGGATACATCGTAGCTCACCTCCTGCCAGAAGAACCAGTCGTTTTACACCTGAGGTACTGCCAGTCGACCCAGCTTTATATGTATAAGGTGCAGTACCCGTCTCCCCATGTACCGAGGTTATGATGAGTCTTATCACCGTCATGAGTCATGAGTCATATCACCTGTGTGTTGTCTGTAACATCACTCCGACAATAACAAGGCCGTGATGTAAGTGACAACAGTGGCTTCATCTACACACACAAAAAATATGAAATTCCAATGATAATGTGAAGGTCAATAAAGGTTTCAGTACATTGCAGTAACTCGTATATCAGTCATCGTCAAAGGTCAAATATCAGGACTAATCTCCCATTATTGACACTATTGATCCTTTGTCATTATGGACGATAAATGATGATTAAATATCAACACCACTGATGTGCTTCGGTCCTGACCTGATCAGAGGTTAACTGAAGCACTTTATCACACCTCTCTGGGAGTCCTTCATCAGTGATGTAGTTTTTTACGTCACACTAACGTCTGCGAGCATAGCGTGACTGTGTGCTTGGTCAGCCATTATTAGACTACTGCTGGAGGTGGAAGCAACACGACGGCGACTGACTCCTGCTTCGATAAGTGACCCGAAGTACTTACTGTCTTGTGGTCAGCCAACACTTGCTGGAGTTGGAGCTCAAGACTGTCTCACTACTGCCTCGATTAGGTGATAAAAATCCTAATTTGAGACAGTGTTGCAATTTAAATTAGGTTATATTGGGTTACTTTCAGGGTTTGAATATGCTTAATTTTCTTCCCCCAAATCAGTGTTAAAACTTATCATAAAAACCATCACATTTAACGAATTTGGTTTACTGTAATAACTATTGAGTTACTCAGCTTTAAAGATTATTTCAATACCTGATCATTGACTCGCATACATTATAGGCGAGGCTCAACAACATTAAGTTTCTGTATTTTAAACAAGTTACAAATATTTACATAACTTGTGTACAAATACCAGATGTAGGGAGCCGTGTTTACAGTCCTCGCTTGACAATTCATGTGTGTTGTGTTGTAATTTTTTCACCCAGGAGTCGAGATGGGTGGTTTGAGGGTAAGTGTGCGGGCGTGGCTGCTGTGGGCGGTTCTGAGTTATGTGAGCGGCAGTGAGGGCGTCAGTACAGGCTACCGGAGGAGTCAAGCAGGTCGTGTGTGTGGCGCTTCAACCGTGAGTGTCGTAGTGTCGTCCCTCACCATGTGTGCCGCTCTCTGTGACCGAGGTAGTGTGTGTGTATGTGTGTGTGTGTGTCACCCCCTTTTACGTACACAGGACATATTTCTAACTCCAGTTGTTGTTTACATCAGAAGCGGCATGTGTCGGGTTCAGCATAGAGGAACGATCACCTTTACGACGACTGTGTGAGAAGGTGCTGCAGTCTGGAGGCACGTGTGATGGTGACAGCCACTACAGTTTCTACACGGCCCCTGACAACACCCTCACCACCCTGCCAGATACAACTTCTTCAGGAGGTAACACAGGGGCAACATCAACAGGAATTACAGCGCTTTCAAAAGTACACACAGATATCACAACAGAGACATGGACCACGAATCCTATGTTTACCCCAACAGGTGAGTTATCTTCTTTGACGGTGATTTATAAACTACACTACGTACAAAATTCCTCCCCAACACTGATACCCCCATTAGCCACTCCGCCAGTACCATCATCCACTCATGCAATTATCTAACACCATTACAGACGCTGACACAACCAGTCAGGGCTCGGGAACTTCATCTCTCTCTGACGCTACATCGACTATCGAAGTTCCAGCTACAGGTATGACCACTACCAACACTACTTCTCTATCTACTATCACGACTACAAGCAGTATAGAGAAAACCGACGGCTGGGTCACTACTATTACTACTATACCAACCCCTACCACTACTATTACCGCCACCAGTACACCAGCTCCTACCACTACTATTACCGCCACCAGTACACCAGCTCCTACCACTACTATTACCGCCACCAGTACACCAGCTCCTACCACTACTATTACCGCCACCAGTACAACAGCTCCTACCACTACTATTACCGCCACCAGTACACCAGCGCCTACCACCACCACTGTTACAACTATTCCTACTACTACCACTACTACACCTGCTTCTACCATCACCACAACCACACCAGCTCCCACCACCACCACAACCACACCAGCTCCCACCACCACCACAACCACACCAGCTCCCACCACTACCACAACCACACTACCTTCCCCCTTGCCAGCGGAGACAGTTTTAATAGAGAATAAAGAAGTAAATAGTAAATGCCCAAGCAACACAGGCGTCTCCACTTTATCCCTAAAACCTGAAGAAGAAAAAATGGTCAACTTGGACTACCTCGCCTGCAGTAAGTTCCTAACCAACAACAACTTCGGCGTTAGTTCCTCTGTCAGCCGCCAGATCAATACCGCTCGCTGTGGAACTAACGAAGTCATAGTGGGCTTCGAAGCTTATGATCAGGTTAATTTCCAGTCCCCGAACACCAATTGGGACAATGCACTGTATCTCTACTCTGTCTGTTCTCAGTTGGTCAATTATCAAGTCAAATCCGGCGAATGTGAGATCGTTCAAGTCTCTAATGTTCCTTGGACAGGTATTAAAGACGTTGGGGACATGAAGACTGACCTGTGGGACTATTGGTTCTCCTGTTCACCTGATTACCTGGCTGTACAGGTGAATCGAGAGACAAATGGAGATCTGAGACAAGTGGTAAATATAGAATGCTGTCGGGTTTCTCCCAACTAAGGCAGCTGAGGTCATCTTGGAGAAGGAGGGAGACGAAACGAAGTGTGTGTGTGTGTGTGTGTGTGTGTGTAAATAAGAGACCCATCGTCAGGCACTACACGTCACTCCTAGAGGCAGAACAGAATTAATATACACCCAAGAGCTTCACGCCAAAATAAAATAGTTACCATGACCAATATATTTTTTTAATTTCATCACAAAAAAAATGTAATCTAGTTTCTACTATGAATCTCAGTATAAAGGCACGACAAAATGTCATCTAGTGTTGGTAATTAAGATATTCAACAGGTATGAACATCAGGTAACACAGGTACATGAATCAACATCAAAACACTCAGATTAGATCAAATTACACGAAAAAATAAAACAAAAAGTCTCTTCACAATAAAAAACAAGAAATTGGTTATATATTCGTAAGGTAAATTAGTTTGTAGAGAGAGAGGTATGCGTGGTGGTCATATTGTGTGGGAGTTTGTTGTGCATAAGAAATTCTTTATCATAAATTCATTATTAAAAAAAAAGAGAAACCAAACAGGAAATGAATATGGAAAAGAGCGAATGAAAATTGAAATGGAATTGAATATATAATTTCATTTAGAGAATTTATACTGGTTGATGGTATCGATCACTGACCAATACAGGTAAACATCACCAATTGGTACAGGTGAAGTAACACCTTTAATAATACTTATGAAATAATTAACTTATCAGACTTAAAGTATTGTTAATTGTGTTTAAAAAAATCAAGAAAAAATTCCAACCACTTTAAAAGTGAATGAAGATTGGTTTAAGTATATTAAAGATTAAACTTGAAGACTCCAACACAAACAATGAAAACACAATGTAAACACAATGTAAACACAATGTAAACAAATAAACAAATGCAATAAACAAACTTAACAAAAACAGGTCAAAATCATCTCAAGATATACTATGACGTCATTTATCTGTGCTTAAATAAGAAGAGAAATTTATAATGAGTGAATCGCTCCCTCTTAACCTGACAGATTATGACGGTACATCAGGTTGGACCCCATTATACCAGGGCCCCATTATACCAGGGCCCCATTATACCAGGACCCCATTATACCAGAGCCCCATTATACCAGGGCCCCATTATACCAGGGCCCCATTATACCAGGGCCCCATTATACCAGGGCCCCATTATACCAGGGCCCCATTATACCAGGGGTCCATTATACCAGGGCCCCATTATACCAGGGCCCCATTATACCAGGGCCCTATTATACCAGGGCCCCATTATACCAGGACCCCATTATACCAGGGCCCCATTATTCCAGGACTCCATTATACCAGGGCCCCATTATTCCAGGGCCCCATTATACCAGGGCCCCATTATACCAGGGCCCCATTATACCAGGGCCCCATTATACCAGGACCCCATTATACCAGGGCCCCATTATTCCAGGACTCCATTATACCAGGGCCCCATTATTCCAGGGCCCCATTATACCAGGGCCCCATTATACCAGTGGCCCCACTTACCAGGGGTCCATTATACCAGGGCCCCATATACCAGGGGCACATTATACCAGGGCCCATTATACCAGGCCCCATTAATCCAGGACTCCATTATACCAGGGCCCTGATTATACCAGGGGCCCCATTATACCAGGGCCCCATTATACCAGGACCCCATTATACCAGGGCCCCATTATTCCAGGACTCCATTATACCAGGGCCCCATTATTCCAGGGCCCCATTATACCAGGGCCCCATTATACCAGGGGCCCCATTATACCAGGGGCCCCATTATACCAGGGCCCCATTATACCAGGGGCCCCATTATACCAGGGCCCCATTATACCAGGGCCCCATTATACCAGGGGCCCCATTATACCAGGGGCCCCATTATACCAGGACCCCATTATACCAGAGCCCCATTATACCAGGACCCCATTATACCAGAGCCCTATTATACCAGGGGCCCCATTATCCCAGGGGCCCCATTATACCAGGGGCCCCATTATACCAGGGCCCCATTATACCAGAGCCCATCATAGACAAACCAATCGTGTACGTAGTGTTTAGATAGTCTGTTTGTCGGCTTGTAAATCAGTGTCATGGTGTGTGTGTGTGTGTGTAAGAGCTATACCAAGTGCGATATGGTAAAATTACAATTACACAGAAAAACAAATAAATGACCACTAGTATTTGCTTCTATGGTTTCCTTTTACTCTTGGTTGGTTTTGTTCTTCATGTGTGGTGGAAACTGAGGATTGTTTTCAGAGGTTTAAAGTTCACCATCGATCACGAGTATAAACAACCACTCACGTCCTGACAACTGATGAATAATTAACGAAAGGTGAGTTGCTTACCTGTCGATACACACACACACACATACATGGTGGCCTCATAGTGCGTTCTGGGTATATACACATACATACATATACATGCATACATACAAACATACACGCAAACATACACATAACTATTTTTTTCTTCAGTATTATGCTTCGACTAACAGGATTAAACCATAACCTAACCTAACCTAAACCAAACCAAACCAAATCTAAACTAAACTCAAATAAATCAGTACAAAAATAGTGTGTCCCTGTATGTGGCTATGGGAAAACTGTCATTATTTCTTATAATGTAGGCAAACTTGGGTCCCTGTTCTACAAAATTGGTCCAGGACACTGTAACCCTCATTAGAGAAGATCCTACTCCCTCCCTCCTTCCTTCCCTCCCTGCTTCCTTCCTTCCTTTCCCTCCCTCCCTCCCTCCAGGTACTCGAGATGATGTGTTATTTTAATATAAACTTAACAAGAGGAATATTTTTAATAATTTCTAGTTGAGGAGAGAGAGAGAGAGAGAGAGAGAGAGAGAGAGAGAGATAATACTTAAAGATCAATAGAGCAGAACTGGACAAATTATTATTATTATTATTATTATTATTATTATTATTATTATTATTATTATTATTATTATTATTATTATTATTATTATTATTATTATTATTATTATTTAGGACAAACTTCACATAAAATTGAAAGGAAAATAATATATAATAATAATCACGTTTAACAGCCATTATCCCTCGTTAATTTGGCTAATTATACTACCCTAAAAAACCTTATATTAATAAATTATAAAACTCTTCATCTACTGCATAAAAAATAAGGTTATTAGCCGGCCAGGTGAGGGAGAGCCAGGTAATAAAGTGATGAAGGATCTATATTTTATTAATTAATCCAGTAAACAGGTGTGTTATAGTTAATTGAGGTGTGTATGAGTAGATACCTGGGTGAAGAGGTGTTAAAGGTAATAAAATAGGTAATTACGAGAGAGAGAGAGAGAGAGAGTCTGTCTGCTGGCTCCATCACCACGAGTCACCGTTTCACATGTGTGTGTATGTTTGACCCCCAGCCACATATTAGGACGAGTATAGAGAAGATAACTATGAACGCGCCACGTGCTTCAGTCAGCGCGTGTCTGCCATATACTCCCTCATGTGTGTGTGTGTGTGTGTGTGTGTGTGTGTGTGTGTGTGTGTGTGTGTGTGTGTGTGTGTGTGTGTGTGTGTGTGTGACCGGGTAATTGACCACGACATAGTGACTTAAGTAAACAGATTCAGATTTTAATACTTAGGTAAACATGTGTCTCAACAGGTGGGGGCTGGTGGGGGAGTCAATCAAGATGTTATTTACCTATACTCACCTGGCGTGGGTGTCCTCTGGCCCCACGTGTTGACAAAGAACATTATTGATCTTTTACTTCATCATGAGAGGAAAAATCGTGTTTTCCTTTTAGTGCTGTTGAATGAAAAATTATCCACCAAGATTATACATACTCGTGAACTTGAAATTATACATATATATCCCCGCATGTGTGTTTGATCTTGTTTACAATCCGGATGTAAACAATTAACTTCATCTCCTGGACTGTTACCAAGTTTAAGAACAAAAGGAAAATGTTGAAGTTGAATTTTCACTTAATCAAGTTTATATTTTTCAGTGAAGGACTTTTCTGCGGATCTCTATTTGTCGTGAAAATTATAATAATAAGCATAAGAGAAATTGGCTATAGGGTCCAACTATATACGGTGCTACATAATCCTTATATAATGTGCATCCGGGGAACCGTGGTCAATAGTAATACCAAGGAAGTCAACAATGGGACCTATCCTTATGCTGGTATATACTGTAATCTATCTATTTTGGAGTATATATAAAGTATATATATACAGATAGAGAGAAACGATTACATGTACGCGTATGGTGATCGCATTTGTGTGTGTGTGTGTGTGTGTGTGTGTGTATGCGCGAGGCAGAAGGAGGTGGGTGGAGCGCGTCGGTGGCCGTGGTGAGGTAAGGTAGTTTTAGCCAGCCTCCACCACACCTCCACCACCCACCGCTGACGACACACTACCACCGTACGACAACCACCAATCACCTGTTCACCTCAACCCAAAAATTAATTCCACAGTAACTTATTTGCTTCGTATTTTTTTTAAAGAAACTAATAAATAATTCTGAAGGAAATTATGTATACGAAGAAAAATGGAAATATATAAAAAGTTTTCTTATATCATAGTGTGTATAATATCTCCCGTCAAGCGAAAGAAATGAAGATAAGGAAAGTATAGGAGATATATCGCGAGCGTGTGTGTGTGTGTGTGTGTGTGTGTGTCACTCATTCAACAAGTGTCAGTAACTCAACAAGTTCACGCATCAGGTGCCAGGACAGAGATCAGAAAACATTAATTAGTGCCAAATGGATCAAATTTCCCAGTGCCACTTGGATCAGTTTGGAACATAAGAATACAAGGTAAATTATAACACAGTGTCGAGTAAGGCAGAAGAAGAGGTGTGTGTGTGACGAAGAACTATACAGTAATGGGAAAAACTATATTACATTCTCATAACATTGCTTAAAGACAGATTATACAAGTGACTAGTTTCTTTTTCTTATTACGGAACAACAAGGAACAATATAACCACAATGTCTAGTGGTACTTAAATAAAAAGACATAATAT